GAGCTAGTGCCGCTGTTAGCCTAGAACAAAGGACTTGGCCAAACTGCAGAGGCCGCACATCTTGGCTATGCCTTAGCCCGCGTCGGGGGGGGGGGGGGGGGGGGGGACACTCAGGCCAGACACGCGGGTTCCGGGAAGCTGGGCCAGAGCTCCCAAGCCGCCTGCCCCCAAATAGCTGTTGTCCTCCCACCTCGCTGCACTGAGGGATGTGACTCGGCGGCTCTCAGCCCGGGACAAGAGGAGGCTGCCCCGTCCTCGGCTTGTCCCCACCGCTGTCAGCCAGAGGGTTCTGGGAATCCGGAACAAGCTCCAGCATAGGCCCCAGCGGTGGCTGCTCTGCTACATGTCAGGCTGGACATCGCCCATTTGTGTCCCTCGTACTTTCTGACGAGAACAGGACAAGTCTCGAGCATGTCCACGGAGATTGTCAGAGGTGCAGCAAATGCCCTTTCTAGCCCAGCAAGGTGTGTGTGGACACTGGGGGAAGGACTTGACCTCGGCAATGACCACCTTTCTCTGGAGACTCCAATTCCTCAGAGGAAAGCCCCATGGCTCAGGCAAGGTCCAGGGCTCAGCATCCGTGCACAACCCCCAAGGCTCAGGCAGCTGACGGCCCTTCCTCAAAAGCCATTTCAGGAAAATGGAAGAAACTCTGACCAATCTTAGCATCTTTCGGGCATCCAAACAAACCAAGGGTCACTGAGGGATATCAGAGCATCTGTGGGTGCAAAAGACCCACGTTCCTCCCAGTTCCTTCCTCACCCGGTTCCCCACCCTCAGTGAGACCCATCTCAAGGGGAAAACTCGCAAGTCTGTGCTCCCTGCAACCCCAGCAAGACCGAGTCCAGCCATTGTCGGCCACTGCACCTCCACCGAGACCTGTGTGGCATACAGAGATCTCTGTGATGACGTTCAGGAGACTCACTCAGAGATCTCTGTGATGGTTGAAGAATACACTCGGAGATCTCTGTGATGGCTGGAGAATTCAGCTTCACCTGGCACCATGAGAAAAGTGCCTCACGGAAAAGGGAAGGGTTTGTCGGAGAGGCTCATGTGGGGCTGGGAGAGGTGATAGACCTCACAGTCCTGGACCAAGTTGCAGAAGCTCCCACCCTCCTCCAGCTGTGCTGCCCACCTGGTGCCTGAGGGAGCAAGGGCTGAGGCCAGTACACAGCTGGCCGGTACCTGTCTAAACACAGTGCCCAGGCAGCTCACAAGCCCCCAGGGGCCCAGGGCTGTGGTGGTCCCACAGCAGACCCTGTGCGAGGGCACACCAGGTCCTCCCTTGCACCTCTCCCCCAGACACCAGCCCCTCCCCGCCCACCGGCCCCACCCCCAGACACCAGCCCGTGTGCCCAGAGCTGGTGCCACAGGATGGAAGGTCACAGAGGTGGCCTGTCGGGAGCCAGGGCGGGCAGACAGGTCTGGGCTGGGCTGCAGGAACCAGACTCATGCTTCAGCAGTTCTAGCCATGGGAGGCGGTAGCGTCACCCACAGAGCACAGCCCGGTGCCTGCTCAATGACCCTGTGCTTGTCAAGGCTGTTGGCTCTCAGGGAGGGCCTCATAGTGCTCCCACAGTCCTCCCAGTGCTCCCAGGCTCCCCCAGTCAGTGTCTGGCTGCCAGGTTGGTCGGGTACCACCCGGCACACAGAGCAGTAGAAAGGCCTGGAGGAACCGCCCAGCGTTCTGGGAAGCAAAGCATGCAGCAAGGTGCCCTGAACCCCGTGTTCCCATTCCGAGGTCCTGACCTGAACGACGAGTTCTATAGGACTGGGGGTCCTGACCTTATGCTCCTGCATAGCCGGGGCCTGGCCCTGACCCTGGGCCCCTGAAGGCTCCTGGGAACACAGCAGAGCCTGCCAGGTGCCGACCCCCATGCCAGGTGTGGCACTCTTGGCTGAAATGAAGCCTGCCCAGAGGGGCCCAGAGCCAGCCCGCAGGCCCCCCAGACAGGCGGGCACAACTGGGACCAGCACACTCAGCTGAGGCTCCTCTAGAAAAGAAGGTCTGTGTGACAGCAGTTGCCTTTGCCCGCTCACCCTTCTTCGGATGGACTTTCCATCTAAGACAGAAATGTCCAACCCCACCAGAAAGCTCTTCTCCCCTCCAGTTCTGAGGGCTGACCATGTCCCCCAGCGTCCAGCTGATGTGGTCTCCAGATACTTGCACTCAAAAGTGCAGGAGGACAGCCTGCACTGGGGCAGTGACAGGGAAGGACTGTGCCTCTTTCCTGCAGTCCCACCTCAGTGTCCGCAGGGAACGCGGCCACTCTCCCCAGCCAGAGCTGGGGCAGGGCCACTCCCTCCACACTGGCACAGTAGAAGCGTCAAGTGCCCCGCACCACCCTGGAACCAGAGGAACGTCCCTGCCCTGAGGCTGCCTGGGAGACTTCTATCCAGTCTCCAGAGCAGTGTTCCCCAGACCCAATGTGCACCAGAGGTAGGGCCAAGGGCGGGCGTGAGCCCTGTGGTAGAAAGGCCGGCATGGAGGGTCTTAAAGGCGAAGGCTTCTATGTGTGTGCACACGTGTGTGACTGTGTGCGCATGTGCAGGTGAGCATGTGTACGTGCGTCTGTGTGCATTTGTGGCTGTGTACATGTGTGCTTGTGTAACTGTGTGCATGTATGACTCTATGCATGTATGACTATGCATATGTGACTGTAACTGTGTGTGACTGTGCATGTGTGATTGTGTGCATGTGTGCATGTGTAACTGTGCATGTGTGAAACTGCATATGTACATGTATGTGTGCATGTGTGACTATGTGTACATGCGCAAGTGTTCTTGGGTGAGCATGTACATGTGTTTGCGTGCGAGCCTGTGTGAGTGTGGGTGTGTGTGGACCATATCTGGTAACAAACTTGTGAAACTCGTGTTCCAGGGAGCTGTGGGTACTAGTTCACGCTTTGGCCTGGTGCTCTGGCGCCCTCTGGCGGACCAGGGAAACTCGCTGGTGAAGACCAGACGCTGGGGACACAGGGGCTGTTGGGAGGCTTCAGGCTGGAAACACCTAGTCAAGGTCATTCCTCCCGGGCGGGCGGGCTGCAATGAGCGGACCCTGAGGCACACAGGGCTGAGGCAGTTGATCAGGGGACGCTGGCCGGAGCAAACCACGTGCAGGCATCTTGGGGGGCGGGCCCTGCCCCCGCCAGCACAACCTTGTCCCCTGGGCCTCACCCACGCCCTTTCCTCACAGAAACCTGAAATTCAGAAAAACTAGTGACTGGGAACATGAGTGTGGGAGGGTACCAGCCCAGCACCAGACGCTCTGCCTCCCACATGGCCGTGCGGGGCTCGTGGGGAGCCAGGAACATGTGAGCAGGTGCCGCGAAGGTGATACGGGCAAGGCTCACAGGGCCTTCCCGGGTCCCCAGTGACAGACAGGCCAGCAGTTCTCAGAACCCCCGGCTCTCGGGCAAGTCTTTCCCGTCACCATGGACACTTCTCTCCAGCACAGCCGCCATTCTGAACCAGCAAAGCAGAACACAGCCCTCCCCACCTGTCCGAGACCTCACCCACGTGACAGGCCTCCCCAGCACAGCAGGGGCTCACCGTCAGAGCAGAGCCGTGCTGTGTCTCTGCCACTGTCCCTCAGGGGTGCCGCAGTGGGGACACTACTGGGGGTGGCCACTGCTCCTCCTGAGGCTCATGGCCTGGGCTCCTGCTCCCCATCCTCAAGAACCAAACACGCCATCCTGAGGTGTTAAATAAACAGTCAATCTGAGGACACAGTTTGGACACTCAAGATGCACCTTAGCCCGTGTCTCCTTCCCTTGGTAGCGTACCAACGCACAGGATGATCACCCTTTCATCTTAAGAGTTGATGCTCTGTCCCAGTCAGGTCCGAGCCCCTCCTCCTCAGGGACTCACCCTCACTCAGAAGGCCTCTGCACAGGTGGGAGACAGAGCACCCTGCAGCACGAGGGCAGAAAAAGCACTGCACCGAACAGTGAAGAGCACAGAGCTGTGTCTGAAATCCTGCATGCGCCAAGGAAGAAAGGGCCGGGCTCACACTGACAGAAGTCACTCACCAGTGAGCGCACACCTTCGTCCACGGGAACAGGTTCTGCCAGGCTCCATGCTGAGACCGCCCAGTAGAGAGAAGGCCAAGTGTCTCCTCACCACACCACAGGGCAGGACGGCCCCTCTAGTCCCTGCAACTGCTCCTGCTCACACCGCGAGCCCTGTGGCTGGCCTCTCTGGGCCACTTCGGAAGCCACAGCATCAGCGCCCCACAGCAACCATCTCCAGAGTAACATGGCTGCACGCTGCCAAAACTCCAAACACACAGGCTGTGTCGATAGAAAACCGACATCACAGGGGACACAGTTCTGAAGTCCTTTATGTCAGTACAAGAAGCTGACAAGTTAGGGAGGGACCAGAGAACTACAAGAGGCTGACCTGGAGACTCTGCCACCTCACTTCTAACACAGAAGTCGGCATCAGGAGAGGCCCCAAGGGCTGGCGAGTGCGCTGGAGGGAGCAAATCCACCCACCACACCTGAGTGCCTGCGAAGAGCCTCCATTACCCATGAACACGCTCACCTGGGTTCCAGAACTTCATTCCCGGCCTGTTCAAGCGGCACCTACAGTTTTAAACTACAGATCAAGCTTACAACCTTAAGTTGCTACTTAAGTTTAAAGCTTAAAGCTTTGACACAGATCATCTTTTCTTTCTGGAACCGGAAGCACATGCCTCGATTGCCAGCAAAAGCAGCTATTCACAAACTGCTTCCGTCTGCAGCCTCAACTCCATAATCCAGACAAAGCTGCTGCCGAGCCTCTGCATCCAGTCCTGAGGGAAAGGCCTGTCTGTCCACGCCACTGGGACGAGGGTGGGCGTCTGGAGGCCCCCTCGCTGGGCCCAACGCTTGCTTCCAGGGCTCCCCACACAGTGGGTCTGGGCTGGCACTGCTACCCCAATAACCACAGAGGGGCAGGAATTCTGTGCCCTGAGCTGGCATTTACTGCAGCAACACTGACGCCCATAGAGCATTTTCACTCTACGGCGCGGGGACACAGGACAAAGGGCTCGGGTCACAGTCTGAGGGAAAGGCAGCTCGGCTCCTGAGGCTGCCAGCCAGTGTCAGTCTTAGGGTCTGAGAGTCAGAGAACAAGTGTGCGTGGTGTGGACAGGTCACAGCCATGAGCCGGGGAGGGCTCAATGGCGCAGACACTGGAACTCGGGAACAGTGCGGCGGGAGGAGGGCTCGGCGGCTACTCTTCTTTCCTGCTCCTCTGCCTCTCTCTCCTCTTCTGCTGCAAGTTCTTCAGGTCGGTCATCACCGTCAGAGTCTTGCGCACCCAGAGGATCTAGAACCAATTGTTGGAGACATGCTAAGCGCGGGAACCCCTGCAGAGACCAGACCTCACAGCAGTCTGCCCCATACATACCACAATGATCAAGGCATTGAACAGCAGCGGTGCGGAGAACACCAGAGAAATGAACATCCCCCTGGAGTCAAAATACTGGTACTTTGAAAACAACCTGTTTGGAGAAAAATCTCAATCACCTGACAGAAGCAATGTTTCACCGACATTCTCTACCCAACAGAGGGTGCTGAGGGCACTTGTGCCAGAGGCAGGCCCATGGCATGGGGATGCCAGTCTGTCACCACCATCACCGTGCTGGTCAGCAGCAGTGCCCAGCATGCGAGCTCAGCAGGCAGGAGCCCCCGCATAGGGACAGGACCGGCCAGGTCAAGCCCAGCCATGAGCAGACGTCACAGTGATGGCCAATTCATCTCCGTCAGCCCTGCTCCGTGGGGTCAACACCACTTCTCAAAGGAGAGGGAGGCCGAGGGAGATCAGGCAGCTCGGCCAGCAGGGGGACAGGAAGGACAGGAGAGTGGGGGAGCAGGATGGGGCAGCACCAGCCATCAACTCTGTGGAGGAGGCTGGAGGGGGTGTGCTGAGCGCAGTCGCAGAGAGACAGTCTCTCACGCGTGTACGGGAGGAACCCGTGGCTGGTCTCCAGGGCGGACGAGACCATGGTAGAGTCTTAGGCAGACAGAGTGTATGGACCCTTCACAGGCAGTACTGTGAGTCACAGCAGCTAAAATAAAGTCTCTTTCTTAAGACGGGCTGGAGCGATAGCACAGCAGGTAGGGCATTTGGCTTACACGCGGCCGACCCGGGTTTGATTCCTCCACCCCTCTCAGAGAGCCCAGCAAGCTACCAAGAGTATCTCGCCTGCACGGCAAAGCCTGGCAAGCTCTCCATGACATATTCAATATGCCAAAGACAGTAACAAGTCTCACAATGGAAACGTTACTGGTGCCCGCTCGAGCGAATCGATGAACAACGGGAGGACAGTGCTAGTGCTTTCTTAAGACAACACATCTCCAGCTTGGTGACAGTCACTTGGTTCTGGGCTGGGACAGGGGATGCAGTGGATACCTGCTTGGCAGTGCTCAACCTCCCGAGGGGCAAAATGCCACACTAAAAAGACACAGGGCAGCAAGCTGAAAGGCCTAGGTAAGCGACAGAGCACCTTGTGGCCAGAACAGATGGAACTTGTGAGCAGGACCACGGTCTCCCGCAATCTGGCCACCCAGGACTGATGGCCCATGGTCCCATTCCCCCACACCCAGCTGCAAGACGTTCCCATGTCGACCCCAGACAGACCCACCTCCAGTTCATGGCTGCCACTTCGTTGATATATTCAGCACAATAGACTAGGATGACTGGAAAAGAGAGAGGCCGTGCATGAGAATTCAGTGTGAACTGTCAGTGCTACACATTCTTTACAAGAGAACGCAAAGCTGGACGGAAAACAGGATGTCTACTTCCAACGTAGAGGAGGTAGTTATATACTCGCTAAATATAGCAGGGAGCACAATACACACCCAGCTGAGCACCGAACCCTGAGAGAGCACCTAGGGCCAGGGGGCCAAGTCTGAGCTGAGTGCCAGAGGCAGGAGTCGGGTGAGCAGTGACTCGAGAAAAAAGCAGCAAAGAACCCCCGATCCTATGCCAGCTTGAGAACCAAATGAGCCACAAAGATGTGATGCAGCACCCATAGGCCAGCACCCAGGGGTCAGCGGGGAAAGCCTACATCACAGCCTGCTACAGGGAGCCAGGGCCTGCACCTGTTTAACAAGTCAGACACGGCAGGAGACACAGAACGGCAGTAAACACACACGCACGCACGCACGCAGTTCTCAGACCAGGTGGCAAGTGCAGTGCCCGCACAAAGGGGTGCACAGGATGGGCTACTTGGTGGAGGGAGGTGCCATGGATACCTGAAAATTAGGTGGCCTGTCATGCACAGAAACCACAAGAGACCTGGGCGCAGTAGTCATTGAAACACGTCCCCTTCCTTGGCGGGGCCGCCCACAGCCTGTGCTTGGGGCTCCCCGTGCCACGAGCCACATCCTTCCTGCATCCTGTCCCCTCCGGCCTAAACATCCCACACAGCAGCCCAGGAGCTGGCAAAGCAGGAGTCCTCCAAGGCCGGGCCCACTCCCACCTACCCTGGGGCTGGCCAAGTGGAAGGGAGCTGCTCTCCGGGGGCAGCAGGCAGTCACTGCACCCTGGCTGGCAGAACAGGCCGAGTCACGGTCCCCAGAGCTGCTGCAGGCCCAGCTCAGCACGAGCAGCTCCGGAGAGAAAGGCCAAGGCCTCTGGCTGGTGGCCCTCCTGCATCAAGCCGCAGGGACCTATGTTCCCCAGGCCTCCGGAGCTCCTGTCCGGGCACAGGGGAATGCCCAGACCTCGGCCTGGCCCTGTCCTCTGCCGCCTCTCCTCAGGAAACATCCTCCACCCCTCCAGCGCGGCTTTTCGCTAGACTCCCCCACCAAATGGGCCGGCAGCTTGCCCCCAGCAGCACTGAGCTCGGCTCTGGAACAGCACCCCAGGATGAGGCCAGCAAGTGCATGAACATCAGAGAGTGACACAGCAGCCCACACTAACAGGCGCAGGCCCCTGAGCAGGGCCTGGGGGGAGACACATGCCTCCTGCCCTTGCCGAGCCCCACGCGGGTCCGACTCACCCAGGCACACGAAGTGTCCCACCTGCACCTGGTACTTCCGAGAGGACAAGTAGGTGAGCAGCAGGCTGAGCACGTGAAAGACAGCCAGTGCCACAAGCCACGGCTCCGTCCAATCTGTGTCCTGCAGGAGGGAGGTGACATTGGCTATTGACAGGCACCCAGGCATCCATGCCCCCATGACAGGGTCCCACAGGGCCTGCCAAGAAGGTGTCTAAGTACGTGCTCTGGGGAGGTGACTGTTCTGAGACTGTGCTGTGCTCAGCTGGTGACGGACCCCCTCGGGGGCACTCTTGGTGACAGTCAAGCTGGGGAAACCAGAAGCAGCATCATGTGCACGGTCCCATCTTGCTGCTCCAACGACCTCCAACAGCCCCTAGACTGGTGTCCCACGACAGCTCTCCCGTGCCTGGACCTCAGAAAAGTGTGTCCACCGCTTCTGCACACGGGCCACTGGGAGAGCAGCGCCCAGAATCCGCAGCCAGAGAGAGATGGCGGGACGCTGCTCCGGGAGGCCTCACGGTGGCACGAAACCAGTCAAGGACACACATCCAGGCCAGCCCAGACAGCCAGAAGTCCAATGCCACGGCTGCCACCCCACCGCAGGGGGCAGCCAGGGCCCCGCCCACACAGCCCAGACCCGCCCACACAGCCCCGGCCCCGCCCACAGCCTAGGCCCGCCCACAGACCCGGCCCGCCCACAGACCCGGCCCCGCCCACACAGCCCCGGCCCCGCCCACAGCCCCGCCCCGGTCACAGTCCAGACCCGCCCACAGCCCAGTCCCGCCCACAGTCCCGGTCCCGCCCACAACCCCGACCCCGCCCACAGCCCCGGCCCGCCCACAAAGCCCCGGCCCCGCCCACACAGCCCCGGCCCCGCACCCACAGCCCAGGCCCGCGCACAGCCCCGGCCCCGCCCACAACCCAGACCTGCCCACAGCCCCGGCCCCGCCCACAGCCCCGGCCCCGCTCACAGTCCAGACCCGCCCACAAAGCCCCGGCCCCGCCCACACAGCCCCGGCCCCGCCCACACAGCCCCGGCCTCGCGCCCACAGCCCTGGCCCCGCCCACAGCCCAGGCCCCGCGCCCACAGCCCAGGCCCCGCGCCCACAGCCCAGGCCCGCCCACAGCCCTGGCCCCGCCCACACCCCAGGCCCGCCCACAGCCCTGGCACCGCCCACACCCCAGGCCCATCCCCAGCCCCGGCACCGCCTCAGCTCCGGCCCCGCCTCAGCTCAGGCCCGCCTCAGCCACGGCCCCGCCCCCAGCCCCGCCTCAGTCCCGACCTTGCCTCGGCCTCGCCCTCGCCCCGCCCCAGTCCTGGCCCCGCCCCCGCCTCAGCCCCGCCCCGCCCCCGCCCCGCCTCAGCCCCGGCCCCGCGGAGCGGGCGGCCCGGAGGCGGCGGTTACCAGGAGCACGGCGGGAATGCTGACGGGGAACGCGCTGACTGAGAAAGGGGACGGCATCGTCCCGGAACGGCCGCCGTGACCGCCGTCGTCCCCGCCCCACCCGGACGCCGCGACGGGTCCCGGGAGCGCTCCAGTGTCGCGAGATCCGCGCCTCCTAGTCTCGCGCTATCTCGGCGCCCCGGTGACTCCGCCTCCGCCGCGCCTGGCCCCGCGGGCGCGCCCCCGGCCGCGCCTCCCGCCCGTGCCGGCCGCTGGGGGGCGCCGCGCCGAGGCCCCCGCGTCGACCCCGTCGCCTGCCGCAGCCCCCGCGGGCGCGCCGAGCGGGTCCCCGGAGGACGCCGGTCTCCGAGTCTGACGTGTCTCCCGAGAGAAGCCCTCGTGGGACAGAGCGAGGGCCTCGACTCGGGCTGGTGGACCGGGTTCCCGGACCCGGGACTGCGGGAGCCCGAGCGCCCGGGCGTGGCCGGAGTCCCCCCTCCCAGACCCCCCTCAGGTCCCCGTGTGTCGCGTCTTCCCTCAGAGCGCTCTCGGGAAGGGCGGACTCCGAGTTTAGCTGAAGGTTTCTGTCAGGCTCTCCCTTCTGGAGTCACGTCATTCCGCGTTCGTTCTGGGTCTTCCTCTCGTTGTCGCGCCCTGAGCGTGCTTTTCGTAATATGTATTTTAAGTATTCCTCACCGAAGACCGCGTGAACATCAACATTTCCCACATTCCTGGGAGGAGTTGCAAGGATAGCGTCCCCTCCCTCATGTGGGATGCGAGGCAATGCGAGGCAATGTCCCCTCCACAGCATCCCCTTTCTCGTGTGGGGCGTGAGGTACAGTATTCCCTCGTGTGTGTGAGGTAGTGTCTCCTTTCATGGGTGTGAGGTACAGTGTCACCTCTCTCATGTGGGCTGTGGGGTGTGAACTCCAGAAGCCCCTCCCCCACGTGGGGTGTGAAGTACAGCGTCCCCTCCCTCATGTGGGGCAAGACGTATAGTGTCCTTTCATGTGAGCTGTGAGTACAGCATCGTCTCCCTCATGTGAGGTGTGAGGTTTAGTAGCCCTTCTCTTGTGGGTGTGAAGGACAGTGTTCCCTCGTGGGATGTGAGGCACAGTGTCCCCTCTCGTGGGGTAAAGATACAGCACCTTCCACTTCATGTGGGGCATGAGGCACTCAGTGTGTGGGCCCTGCTATGGCTAAGAGCGAAGCTGACCCATCCCCCTGCCACTTTTGTTTTATCCTGTGTACCACACCATGAGTCTGGGAGATTTTCCAAAAATGTTCACCTTTTCCTCACCTTGTCTTCAGCCTATGCACAGGCAGATGTTGGGGGCACATGATGTGACCCATTCAGTGAGACATACTCCAAGAGTCTCTGGTCACCTTGTCAGGCAGGATCCACCGTTTCATTGCTGAGCGGACACGGACCCCTGCCACATCCGTGCCTGCAGACTCGAGCAAGCGCCCCACACCTGGGACCCAACTCAGCTCCCCAGTGCACTGCCAGGAGGTCAGTGCCCTCACACAGGACTCCTGCAGGCCTGTTAGATCAGTCATCGACAAGGAAGAAGCCAGTCTGTTTCTGTAAGCAGATGTGCAGGGCACAGGAAACTGGCTGCAGAGGCAAGTAGCACAAATCCGGGGATGTTACCTGGCCTGTGGCATCAGCGCACAGGTGGAAACATCACTTTGCCACATTTCACAGAGAGAGGAAGAGGCATAAGGGATGAAAAGGACTGGTGCAACCTGGTACTGGGCCCCTGGGCGGCCCAATGAGACAGTTCCAAATGCTGGATGTCCATGTGCTTCTCGTGGGATGGACCCCCGTGCTGGCCCAGCTGGGGAGAGCAAGGACTGTATCTCCATCCAGGGCTGCTGCATGCACCCTGGCAGGTTCCTGGTGGCTGCTGGGTGAAGATGAAGGAGTTAGGCCAACTTGACCCTGACACAGGGTTAGGGCTGGGGGGGACACGCTCCCTACCACCTGGCTCTACAGCCTTTTCAGAGTTTTCTTCCAGTCTTTATGTGCTGTTTGCAGGCAGAAGCTTCTAGTTGCTGGGGTTTCTGGTGAAAAAAGGGCTCTGGAGCTGGACCCGGTGAGGCGCCCAAGGCATATACATATATATATATAAAACGACACTGAATTCTATGGACCATAAAAAATCACTTGGGACTGTAGTGATAGGACAGTGGGCAGGGTATTTGCCTTGAACATGGCTGACCGAGGTTTCATCCCTGGCACCCCATATGTCCCCTGGGCCTGCAAGGAGTGACCTCTGAGTTCAGAGCTAAGAGTAAGCAAGCCCTGAGCACTACCGGATGTGGCTCAATAAACCAAAACAAGGAAAAACAAGAAAGAATGATATGCAATCCTATCTGATCTGTAATGGCAGTCATTCATCCTCATATGTCGCTATCCATCATGAAAAATAATGTGACTCAACAAATCCGAGGGGTCATAAGTTGTGTGCTCACGGTGGCCAAGGCTTGAGAAGCCTGTGGATGAAGAAGGTGAACTTTCTGGGTCCTCAGACCAGCGTGGAGATGGGAGACTGGAAAGGGGGCGCCCTCTGCCGACACCCAGAACAGCTGTGACAGGAGGACTAGCAGTCACTACCCTGAGTTCCTGGCTGTGAGGGACCCCTGAGGGCAGGTTCCGTCATGGTCATGAGGAAGGTGCCTCTAGTGTTTACTGAGAGTAGGAGGGACCCTGGAGAAAGGGGACTGAGCCTGTGACATATGGTCCCCAGCCATCCCCTCCAGGAAGCCCTCCAGAGGACATCTGTGCATAAATCAGCACAGACGCTCTCGCTGTGCTTTCACTTGGGGACAGAGGCACATGAGCTGTATGGCTCTACCTTAGCACTGTTTGGAGAGCAAGAACATGCAGGCTATTAACTTGGTCGTGCGAGAGATGTCCTGGCTGTACCCAGGCCCTCCACCCTTCACTCCTGAGGACAGACCGCCAGCTGCACATGGAACCTCCCACCTTGTTCTGAGACACAGCCAATGGGCGGTGGAGCCAGGATCCACTGTGAGCTGCCCATGTAGGAAAATCTTCTGTCCCTAAACTCTTGAACAATGTTTCAGTGGCTCACTGTGCAGAAAGCCACAGTAGAGCTGGAATGGTGCAAGGCAGCTGCCCTGTGTGCCACTTAATCAACAAAGTCTCAGTCAGACCAGAGGAGCCCCACCACCTCGTCCAGGAAGCCCTTCATGATTACTGCGCTCTCTCTCGCTCTCTCTCTCTCTCTCACACACACACACACACACCCCACAGTGGAAGCAAATTTCCTACAACACAGATTGTGTGGTTTTCATCCTGGAGATTTTCACAAGCTTCCCTTCAGTTCTGCCGTGTTTTTGAGTATAGTGTGTGCACGGGAACCAGTGCTCAGGGAAGCCTGGGGAGAGATGATGTTCTGTTTCTCTGCTCTGTCAGAAAGTCATGTTTGCGCTGATCTGCAGACAGGCCCCCAGCGCCACCCTCCTCTCTGGTGGGACCCTCAGAATAGCCAGCAGACGGCAGAGGCTAAGACCTCCCCCTGCTGTCACCATGTTTGCTGAAACAGAAACAGCCCTAGCAGAGTAGGTTCCTTGTCTGCTCCACCTCAGGGTTTCCTCCTCTCTCTGGCCCCTGAGCTGGCCGTGGCCGCTGCCCTCTCCCTGCATGGGTCACTGCAAAGACTTCAACCCTAGGGACAGCTCCCCTGGAGGGGCCCTAGGAGTAGCATCAGGCACCCACCCACATGCTCAGGCAGTATCTGGGGCAGGTTTTTCGTGCCACTCAAACCACGAATCAGAAACACGATGGGCAGCTGGCTAGAGCTATAGTATAGCTGTAGGGCGTTTGCCTTGCATGCGGCCAACCCGGGTTCGATTTCCAGCATCCCATATGGCCCCCCCCCCCCCGAGCACCGCCAGTAGTAACTCCTGAGTGCAGAGCCAGGAGTAACCCAGGAGTAACACAGTATCGCCGGATGTGACCCAAAAAGCAAAAAAAGAGAAAAAAGGAAACACGATGGGCAGCAAGCAGTGTGGCACAGGACGTTACCTTATCTGGCCTCAGGGGTCTCAGTGAAAGGGGAGGTGGAGTCCTGCTTCCAGGCTCAGATGCGGGCTCAGAGCTACTCCACACAGGCACAAAGGCAGGTTGTGGCGTCACCTGCTGGACAGAGCTGGTGCTGCACTGCCTCCTGCCCAGCCCCAGGCCCACGGGCGGCCCCTCCCCACCCTTGGAAACTGGGTCCTGTGTCCTTTGCAGCTTCTAGCACCAAAGGCTGTGCTTTGGGGCTTGGAGAATTGGGACAGAACCTTCCCCAGAGACTGGGTGCTGGGCACCTGCTCGAGTCCCTCCGAAACTCGGAGAGCCGAACCCAGCCCTGTGGCAGGGTTCCCTAAGCCCCTGCACTGCCTCCACACCTCTGCACTCAACTCAGGATCCTCCTCAGCACTCACTTCCTCACACACCTCTGCACACGCACCACTGCAGCCTCTGAGCTGTGTTCTCTTGCGTACTAGTGCCCTCTGTGGTAGTCTTCACTCTCGTGCCCTCTAGGGGGTTCTTCACACTTACACCCTCAGTGAGTGTGACTTCACACTCGTGCCCTTGAGCAGGTTCTTCACACTTACACCCTCAGCGAGTGCGACTTCACACTCTTGCCCCTGGCAGGTTCTTCAGTCTTCCTCTCAGTGAGCCAGAGGCTCCCGGTAGAAGAAGCCGGGTTCAGCTCCGTGTTCCTGCTGCTGTCTTCCCTCCTCTGAGCCCACACACATGGCCGCTGGGGTTTGGGGGTGTGAGCTCCCTGCGGCACATGCGAGGGATGTCCTGGCTCTCTCTTCAATATGTTTGGTGACCCCTGGCAGCCTGGAGACCGTGCTGCCCCTGGGTGCCCTCGGCCAGCCCCAGGCCTCTCCAGGGCCAGGCCCAGCCTGCTTCCAGCCTCCAGGCCCCCTCTCAGAACAGCCCCCCCCCCCCCCGTTCTGCCGCATCCACTCCCCCACCCCCAGCTCCCTCCTCTCTGGGCAGTCTGAATAAAGCTTTCACAGCATAAAAGAAGAGAGGAGGACCTGAAAGGAAAGCAGTCATTTTGAAATACAGTTATCAAAATATTTTTCAGGGAGTGATGTAGTAATACCTGTGCTTCTCCATTAATGGATT